AGTCTCCTTGTTAGTTGTCAAACCCCATTTCTTCAGCGTTCAGCGTCCAGCCCAACGCCGCACAGCTCTTCAGAACACGCTGTGCTCTGGATGCACTCAGGTGTGCAGTGATGTTCCTCCAGTTTCAGGCTTGCAGACTGGTGCAAGCCTACTGAAGTGTCGGCATCTCATCGCTCAGGCGTCTCCTGTCTGTTTACACACAGCTGTGGGATTCGTGCTGAAATTCCTGCACACAGCTCAACTGCAGGACAAGAAATTGGGGCATACACTAATCAAAGAGCTGGCAGGGGATCCCCCAGCCAACCACTCAGCCCGCTGAAGCCTCGCAAACATCCCTTTGGCCAGCAAAGTAAATATGGACAAACACGAACACTGCTGAATGCAGCTGCTAACCCAGCATCACTACAGCCAAGCCTCAAATCCTCGAGATGCAAATGTCAAGGCTGCATCTGATGAAGTGAGCCACCAGCACCTGCTTGGTCCTCAAGCTTTTCTAGGGAGGCTCCAGCCAGCTTTTAAGCCAGTCCTGCTCAGGGCACAAAAAACACAAAGCCATGGAACAACCCGCATGAGAGCACTGCAAGATGAAGCTCCTGGAAGGGGTGTCACCGAGCAATGGGAAGCACTGGGAACTGAGCTCCATGCCCACCTGGATGCACTGCTCTCACATGGGGATGCTGTAGTGACACAGAGCCTGAGCTGCCCGGCACTCCTCATGCCACAGCACTGCCAGTGTGGCTGTCTGAGGTCATGCACGGAGCTGCTGGCACGGAACACACGCCTCATCACAGAGCTGTGCTGACCAAAGCAGCAAATGAAGTGTTTCAGTGCTGCATTAGAAGATCACGCAGATGCAGAATGGTTCAGAGTCACTGCCAATAATTGCAGCCCTCCTGAATTCCTTAGAAAGTGCTTTGGAAACAACTTGCAACGTAAGACTTGGTGCACACCTCATGCCTGTGGTGTCCATGCTCTCAGCAATATCAGAGCGATCTGCCCTGCTTTCCTGTGTGCAAGGCAGGGTGGGGAGCAGGAGAGTTCAAAACTGGGCGAGATGCTGTTAATGACAGCCCTGAGAAAAGTGAAAACACAGCCAGAGTGTCTGCATGCTTCACAAGAATGCTCCAAGAGGAACTTCCTCTGGGTGAGGGAAAGGAAAGATGAGGAAACATTCTGTTGGCACCTCTACACAACCCCTGAAGTTGGACCTTGGAGCCAGGCGGCTGCTCCCCGCCCCACATCACCCAGCACTGGGGCTGTGCCTCCTGGCTGCCAGCCCTGGGCACGCAGAGCCCAACAGCTGAACCCTGTGCTCTGCTCGCTGTGTTGCTCACCTCATTTCTGCTCAATAGAGGAGGGCCCAGGCACCAGGAACTGCTCACGGAACACATAACCCTCAGAAAGCGTTCTGCAGTAAAGCACTAACAGACATTTTTAAGCCATCAAGCTGTGCAGGAGCAAATATAAAACCCCAAATACAAAACCCCACTTTTTCATTTAAGAAAAAATCATTTTTCCGACTTTAACCACACTTGGGCTACTCGAAGCTACTTTAAGTGTTTAACCATTGTACCATGTCATTTCCTAACCCAAAGAAAATACTCGCCAGTCATAACTGCAGCAAATTGAGCGGAACACTTGCTGTGGCTTCAGTGAAGGCACAACCAGATCCTTCCCCACAACAGATGCATGCAGAACGCCCCAGCTCCCTGCAAAGCCTGTCCCTGACAGACCTACAGGAGCTGAAAGCCCAGCAGCAGCCCCAGTTTCCCCTCTCACCAACAGAGATCCCATCTTTTGATATCGGCTGGTGAAAAGAAGTTGCTTTTTCTGCAGGGTTCTGCTTTCCACCGGGGTGTGTTTTTCTACCAGATATTTTTAGCATTATGGAGCAGCACGTTTGCCCCCCTGGGGAGAGACTTCATCTTTAATTCCACCTCAGCGTTTCCTTCTCGTTTGACTTCTCACAGTCTATCACATCTCACTTCCTGCTTACCTGCACGACTCGTGATTGCAGCAGGAGGTCTCACGCTGTGATGGGAGCTGGGAGCCTCGGGCCCTGCTAAAGCTCACCCTGAAATCCCAACAAATGCAGTGATGCAAAATCTTCTCCACTGAACACTGCTGGGGGCACCTTCTGTGCCTTTTGGACCGGCATTTGTTCTCTGCACAGATGTGGCACCACATCCACACTGTGTCTGAGCAAACAGCTGCTTTGTACCCATCTTCAAACTGTGCTTCTGGGACAGCCGAGACTGAATGCAGAGAGCAGGCAGTGAGACTGCTGCAAAACAGGGACTGGAACGTTGTGCTAGCATTGGAGAGAGCAGGAACCAGACAGGGAAGGAGCAGGAAGGCAGGTGAGCACCCCTCCTAAGCACCTCCCAATCAAAGCTCTCTCGTAACACACGCACAGAAGTCCCTGCTCTGGGTGCTTACTTTGTGCTTTCTTCACTCACCAGCACTGAGTGTCCATTGCTTAACCTCCAACCTCCACATTACTCCAAAGCTGTTGCTGCTGTCCGCTGGGACATTGCACTCTGAGGACAGCTGAGCTCAGGGGTGACCCATTGGCACCCACCACCTCCTCCCACATCACATCCCTTTCATTTCCCAACCTCTGGCTTTCCATCAAGTGTCAGGCAGACGGAATTTCATATTCCCCATTTCCAAAGCCTTGAAGTTATTTAAAAGGAGGACAGCAGGGCAGGGCTGGCTGTAATTAAGCATCGCCACACATCCTCCTCCCTGCCCCCGGGAGCAGAGCAGCCGAGGAGCTCCTGACCCATGTTGGAGCTGCTCGCTGGCACCAATGGGGATTATGGGGGTCTGCCATCACACCTGGGTCTGGCATTGCTGCAGCCACACTGATTGCCAGACATTGACCAGCCACCCAGCCTGCAGAGCAGCCTGGAATGCAGCGATGCATCCCCATAACACAAAGTCACCACCATGCGCTGTCGGTGAGCGTGGCAGAGCTGTTACAACGAGAGGTTGATAACACTCGTGGTGTGTATTTAACTGAGCTGACCCTCTCCACTTTATCTGAACAGCCCTTAAGTACATCCATCTTCTGATGCAGACAAGCCTGAAGGGTTCCGAGCCAATTTCCCACTCAATACAAGGGCTCAGTGTTTTTAGTATATTAAATAAAAAAGAGAAATTTTGACCCAAGTGCAGATTTGCATTGCAGAGAAGCAGATTTATACACCAGGGAAATGTAAGCACTGGCAGCCACTGGGCTCTGTGCTCTGCTCAGAGTGCAGCAGCAAATCTCTGATACAGTGATAGAAAAGTGGATCAAATCTGGCTACAAATAGGCAAGCTGTATCCTTTCAGACACTCAGACCACAGTGATGGCGTAACTCAGAAAGGGCTCAAATCCTCCCTTCCTACCCCCAAACAAACTACTTGCTCAGGGAACAGAACAGTGCTGGACCAGCAAAAAAGCTGCAACTCAAGAAATGCACCAGCAAGTGGCTTCCTTAGGAGATGCCAGGGGGAAAAAAAAAGAAGAAAACACTAACAAACATCTAAAAGCTTCAAAACAGAGCGAATTACACAGCGTGGTCCTTTAAATACAAAAGCAAAGGAGCGTGCCCTCCTTCTGGGTGCCTGTGCAGCATGCAGCACAGCTGACCCTGAGCTGCCAGCCACTGTCAGGCTGAGCTGCGGCGAAGCAGCGTTGCTGCAAGCAATGGAAATAATGGAGGGCGAGCAGACAGAGCACAGACAGTGAGAAGACACCTTGTTGAACACCCAGCTGCACTTCTAACCTGTACATTCACCCATGACCAGAGGAAACCCATGCACAGTCACCAGCCCCTGCTGGCACACTGACCCAGAGTCCTCCTCCTCCAAACACACGTCTTCCCAGTTACACCAGTCTGCTGCAACCAACCACAATCAGCAGCGCCTGCAATCCTGCAGCAGCCTAGGGGAGCAGGCAGGGCCAAAGCCAACACAGGGCATCAACCAGCCCTGCTGCAATGCTCCCCCAGCTTACAGCCTCGCCTTGGGGCACAGAGCCCCAGGGATTCTGCTCCCAGCCCCTGCAGCACCACCTCCGTGCTACCATAGCTCAGGGCTGCTCCAATCTATGCTCACACACTCTATGTACCCCACAGTCCATGTATCCCACCGCAGTGCCTCATCCCATCCCCTTCATGCACTCCTTTCAACCCACACAGGCCCAAACCCTGGGGGGAGCACTTCTTGGTTCCCCCTTCACTTACAGTACAGACACATCCATGTCCCACTGGGCTCCATCCCACGCCACAGGAGCTCAGACAGCCCCTGTCCCACAGCCCTCCTGCCCACACATTCCACCCCATGCACAGATTCCAACCCACAGCTTCCCTGTTCCACAATCCCGTTGTCACCCCCCAGCACACCAGCAACACACACCCCCTGTGCCAGTCCTGCAACCCCAAAAGCCCAGCTCATGCTTACAAACCCACTAACCCCATACATCTTGTGCACTCAACCTTGTACCCCATCAACCCCACAATCCCTACCTGCCCCACAGTCCTACAACACCCCTATGCCCACACCTCACCTCAAGCAGCACAGTCCTCAGTCTCCCAGCCCCATATGCACCCCCACTCTAAGATCTCTCCAGCCCACACACCTCCATTCCTTCTCCGCAGCCCTACAGCACCCCAACCCTACGCACCCCACAACTCTAAACTCCCACAAAGCTCAGTCCTCACCTCGAGAGCCTAGACACACTTAACGCCCCACTGCCTTCCCCACATCCCACCCCACAGCTCCAAACTCCCACCTCCTACCCCAAAGCCCTGCAGCCCCTCAGCCCTCCACAGCCCTCACACCACACAGCCACCCATAACAACCCTCCCACAGCCTCAAGCCCTGTGCTCACCTCTAAACACAGCCCAGCTGCCCCACGGGCCCGCAGCTTCTCGGCCCCACAGAGCTCCCCAGGCCTGCAGCCCCACAGCCCTACAATGCCTTTATCCCTCACAGCCCCCCCGGCTCACCTCAGCAGACTGGACAGCGGGTGCCCCACACCACCACCTCCACCTCCTCCTCCTCCTCCTCCACCGCCGCTTCCACCGCCTCCACCACCCCCGGAACCTCCACCACCACCTCCTCCGCTTCCCCCGGAACCGAAACCGGAGCTGAGGCGTTTTCCCGACAGCAGTTTCTCTACGGCAGGCAGGTTCCCGGTACGGGCGGCCTCCAGCAGCTCCTGCTCCTTCCCCATGGCCCGGCCCGGCCGCCGCCACCGCCTCCCGCCAGGCCACGCCCCGGAAGGATGCTCGGGGGGCGTGGCCTGCGGGTGAGTGGGCGTGGTCTGAGGGACCCGTTTGTGCTATTGCGAATGGGCGCGGCCTAATGTATCTGGGCGTGGCCTGCACGGAGTGGGCGTGGCTTGCACTGAGTGGGCGTGGCCTGCTATCGCGCAGGGCGCTCAGGAGGACTCGTATTTTCATCCCCTTCCTTTTACATGAAGGAATGAAGCGCGTACAAAACACAGCCCTGCAAAACGATGCATTAAACCCGCAACCTCAGCTACAGACGAGGCAGATTTCCACCTTAAAGAGGTTAGAAACATTTCCGTGTGCAGTTGCTCCAAGCAGCCGTCTCCGCTTGAAGAGCTGCCACAGCTTTCAGGTCGGAAGCAGAATCCTGAACTTGCTTTCAGCTCCCGAGGGAGCTTCGTGGGGGGGAAGGTCCCGTCCCCAAGCTGAGCTCAACTTCCGAAGGCCCCACGGCGCTCAGACCCATAGAAGCCCCGTTGCCATAACGACAGCGCCCCCACCCTCTGGCCGCTGTAGTGTGACGTCATCACTGCGCGACGGCGCGACGCGGGGCGATGGCGGAACCCGGAGAGCCGGGTCGGGAGGAGAGAGGGAGCGGCGCCGAGCGGGAGCCGTCACCCACCGCCTCATCCCCTACCGGGGGCGGCGCTGAGGCCGCGGAGGAACCGGCGGCCGCGGAGGGGGCGGCAGAGGGGGAGGCGAGGGAGGCTGGAGGCGGCGGGGAGCTGAAGGTGGAGGCAGCGGACGGGGAGGTGAGGGCACGGAGCCGGGCTCGGCCGTGAGGGGCGGGGAGCGGGAAGCGAACGGGGCCGCCGCCACAGCGCCGCTCTCTCGTGCAGGTGAGGAGCGCGGAGGGGGAGGCGCTGGACGGGGAGGACCTGAGCCTGCAGCCGTCGGCGGCCAAGAAGGTGAAGCTGGAGCTGAAGGAGAGGAAGGAGAGGAAGCACAAAGTGGACGAAGATGAGATCCAGAAGATGCAGTGAGTGCGCCCGGGGCGGGGGGTTCTGACAGGGCTGGAGGCGTTCAGTCCAAATGCTATGCGAGGCCCCCCCGAGGGGAATGGCTCTGCTGGGACACCACGGCCATCGGGTTTGGGTGGTGCTGTGCGGGGCCAGGAGTTTGGTGTGGGATCCCTGTGTTTCCCTTCCAACCCAGGATGTTCTGTATCTGCAGCTCTTTCCCAGATCCCTCTGAGCTGCCTCATCATCTGCGTTGCAAATCTTAACACAACTGGAGTGCTGTTGTTTTCTCTCCAGCTCTTTTTTATGCTGCTGGGAGGCTGAGGATGGTTGCAATGCTTTACAGAACCGTGTCAGCGACCTGACGAGCTTCAGAATTGTGCCTGTTTGGTTTTTTTAAATCTCTGTAAGTGATTCATTCTCTCCCCTCCAGAATACTGGTCTCCTCCTTTTCTGAAGAACAGCTGAATCGTTACGAGATGTATCGCCGCTCTGCCTTCCCCAAAGCTGCTATCAAACGGGTACGACTTCAGTCATGCCTCAGCACAAAGCAAACGGGCTGAGCCTGGCCACGCTCCCAGCCCAGCCTCACACACGTACATAAACTTATTACTATGGGGGGCTCAGCAGTTCAGGATTGTGGGCACTCACTGCCTCCCCTCCAGCCACATCTCAGCCTTTGTGGCCGTCCCTAGATCTGCTTATCTGGTTATGTCGTACTCAGTGCGCCTGTGGGGTTTATGTAGTTTAAGTAGGAGCTTATCTCACATGAAAGTAGTTTGGGGGACAGTTGCTAGTACAGATCTGTAGCTGAATAAAAGTAATCTAAAATTGTTACAGTTAGCATGTGCCCACAGCTATAGGACCTTATTCCAAAGATCATTCACTGCTGTTTCTGCTCATTTTGTTTACTGATGCTTGATATTTGGCAGGCTCCAATTACTAAATATAATTTGAAATATTTCACTGTTGCTGCATGTGCCTCATTTGACTGACTGCCTCTTCTTGGTTTGTGCAGCTGATCCAGTCCATCACGGGCACATCTGTCTCTCAGAACGTGGTTATTGCTATGTCTGGCATTTCCAAGGTCTTCGTTGGGGAAGTGGTGGAGGAAGGTGAGCAAATCACATAATTGTTCAGTAAAAGGTTAAGAACACAGAGAGAGTGCGTTGTTTAAAGCAGAACAGAAGGACATGAAATAAAGCTGGACTTTTGTGGCTTCTTCTCCAGGTCTGCAGCTTGACACACTGCCCTGCAGAGCCCTCCTGCTTTCAGCAGCAGCAGCAGAAAGCTGCTGTTGAGACTCGGGGGGAAGTGTGGCATTGTCCATATTCCACTCCAATGCTGTTAATATAATTGCCCATAAACCAGTAGAGATCAGTGAGTGCCTTCCTCCTTTTTTATCTTTTCTGCAGAAGATAACTTAGATGTTCTTGCTCCTACATGAGTAGGCTGCAGTGCCAAAGCAAAGATCTCATTAATACTACTGTGACAAATTCAGCTTAGAAGGGAAATGCGTTATTTAAGCCTCTTAACCTGCAAGATTCTTTGTTACTGCAGTGAGCTGAGATCTCCTTGACCTGTGCAAGGCTGACCCAGCTGTGTGCGGGCTCATGCAGAGGAGGAAAAGATTCTTGTTTTTTGTGCCAACAACTTAGTACAGGCTTGTCACACAAAACACACGGCCTGGATGTGCAGGGATTGCCATCAGCGAGGATGATGCAGCTTTTGGCACTTCTTATGCTTTGACTGTGTCTGCAGCTCTGTGTTGCCAGAGGCTGTCTGGATAAGCAGCTTCACTGCTGTACTTAATTGCTTCGTGTCCTTGGCAGGAGACCTGAATGATACTTACCAGAAATGAAGAACAGGGACTGCCCTTCAAGTCAGCTGTAGGCTGTTCCCTCCTATCACTGCTGCACACAAGCCCCAGAACATACCTCACGAGCTAGGGGTGGTTTTAAAGTAGCAAGTTTAAGATGATGAAGCCTTGTCAAGCTCTTGCATGACCTAGTCTATTCCATAGCAGCTGGAATGTTGTGTAAAAGCAGCTGATTCTGAGCTGGTATTGGTGCCCCAAGGACTGGTTTTTCTTCAGAGAGACACACAAAGCTGTTTCGTTCTTGTGTACAGATAAAACATGAGCTGTAAACCTTGAGCAGTGTCACCTGCTGCCTTTATTATCGAAGTTCGACCAGTAGGAGGCTTTTCAAATGTCGCCTGCTGGGAGAACAGCAGAGCTGAGCTCTCCTTGCTCATGCCAACTCCTGTTTTTTTGTTTAGCGCTGGATGTGTGTGAGAAGTGGGGGGAGCTGCCACCTCTGCAGCCCAAACACATGCGGGAGGCTGTCAGGAGGCTCAAGTCACGAGGACAGATCCCAAATTCCAAATATAAAAAGATCATCTTCCACTGAAGTGTCCTGGGATCAGCAAAGAGAAGACAAGTTCAAACAAGCTTCGGTTGTGCACCGTACAGCAGATATGAGACAGAAGCACTCCCCCTCTCCTGCTTGCAGGCCTCTCCCAGGAGCCTCTCAAGCTCAATTCAACGTGGATTTCAGTAACTTCAAGCATGGAGGTTTCTATGGATTGCTTTCAGTTTACAAAACCACCATGAAAGTTCTCAGCGTGGCTCATGGGATAGAAGGGCAGGGAGAAATGCTGAAGCTGCAGTTGTCCCATTAAGCTCATCCCCATAGGAGAGGCTCCCTGCCAGCAGCCCACGAGCAGCACGTTGTGTGCAGTCATTCATGTAGGCAACCATGGGGATGTTTCCTGCAGTAACTGCTGAAGGCCAGCTTGTCAGCTTAGTGCTGTGCGGGCTCGAGGAGGAGGCAGATTCTTGGCCTGGTGCCTCAGGGTCCTCTGATCCAGCAGCCTGCGAAAGAAACGTGCAACATCTTCCTTGTATTTACCCACCAGCACTGTGCCTCCTGCTGGCACGGCCGCGGTGGTTTCTCTGTACAGAAGTGTCTTTTTTTTGTACATTAAACTCGTTGCTATATTCTTAGTCTCGTTTGGACAGCACATGGTAATTGTGTAATGGTGTTGGTGTGATTCAAAGCAGGGAGAGCGCGCTGCGATCTGCCTCAACCAAGCCCAACATGTCCAAGAAGCTTCACGCCTCCGGCATGTATTGCTCCACGAGCAAGGGAACACGTGCTGACAGCTGATGCTTCTTAAGTCATCGCTCGGCTGCTCCTCCCAGCTGTATGGAGCTGCCTAGAATCCATACAATGGGGAACGTGAGGAAGAAAAGGAGGGGGGAAAAAAAAAATGCAGGAGCCGGTGAGGAGGTTAACAAGTTTAATTTCTTTTCATGGTTCACAGAACCAATAAATGCATGAGTGGAAATATACTGCAACAAAGTTCCAATACTGCCTAAAATTCAAGTTCAGACTTGTACATCACCCACCTGTGCATCCAGTAATCCCCTCTGAGCACATTTCTCACTAAAGGTAAAAGATGCTGAGGCCACGTGCTTTTCCTAGGGTAACTGCCATGTAGTTACACAAAGGATTAAGTTGGCTCTCATAACGTAGAGCCCTTAAACAAAAGGCTCTAAAGAGTAAACTTTGCTAATCATCATCAGTGGAGTTCTGTCCTCCCACACCTACATCTCGTGGAAAGGAAGGGGGTGGTGTTTTACAGTACTTCTCTCCATAAAGCAGAAGATAGTGGAAGTGATTTAATTGTCACACAGAACTGGGGCACTCGAGTTGCTGAAGCAAGAGATTTGCTGCCAACAGCTTGGGCCCAGCTCTGGTCTGCCCACGTGGAAAGAGAGGTAAGGAGCTCTGTGACACTGCAAATAGGCACCGTGTTGGAGAAAACCCCTTCTGCCCATCCATTCCCTATGCTGGCTGGAGATGAAGCTCTACTCAAACAAAAAGTCACGAAGTGTGAAAGAAAGGAACCTCCCATTTTCAAGCAGTTGGTGAATAAAAAGGAAGAATAGCAGTGCATTCCACCTAAGGCAAGCGTTCTCTTGCTTCACACAGAAAGAAGAAAGCACA